GATATGGGTTTTTCAATAGCCGATGCCGATGGGTCGACCTCGGGTCAGGGTCAGCCGATGGCCGATATATGCTGTCGATATTTTTTGGCCGAAAATTGGACGTTTTCCCCTCTATTTGCATGATAAAATATCACATTAATAATAACAAACAATACACAAAATTTCTCAACTTGTGTAAATTTAAATATAAACTTAAATAACAAAAACACAATACAACTTATAAACAACTTAAACTTATAAACAATAAAGATAGCAGCATCAGAATCTCTTTAGCAGCAAACTCATTCTTCAGCTCCCAAGCTCACCAGCCTGCAGCAGATATTGCACCTGGCTTTTCCTGGTGTTGGCTTGGTGAAATGCTGCCATACAAGATTAGATTTTTGTTCAGCCATCAGACAGCAACTACTAAAACAGAAGAAAAAATGCAAGGTTAGCATTTTTATTATAGTACCTTCATCTTCAATTCATTCTACAATTCCAGTATTTCATGCACATTAAAACAATTACATTCTAAAACATTTTGAAGAAAAAAAAAACACTATTAACTAAGTGCATCATGGTATGATGAGTAGTGTACAAGGTTCAAAACCTTTCACTAACATGTTTATGTTGTTAGCAGACAGATAGCTTACAAGCCAAATTCACAATCAGAATCTAGCGATCCCGGAAAATAAAATAAAATAACTTTGTCGTATTGCACAGCCTTGTATGCAAGGACAACATAAGCCCCTAGTGATTGTGACGCTGTTGACATATAAGCCCGTATAAAGGATAGACATGTTTAATGAGGAAACTAACTCCGCAAAGTCGTGCACTTTTTATCTAGACGTCTGACAAATTGTTCGAATCTCCGGTCTCAAATGCAAAAAAGTTGCACAGAAGGGCCATTGTCAGCATCAGCTCAAGTAAATGGTAACCACGCTTTCGAACAAACACTTTTCTACGCCATGCATTGTTCTTAGCAGCTCTGTGTCTCCGAGGACGGCGCTGTCTGTGATCGGGGCAGAGTAACGCAACTCTCACACACGCTGCAGTGTTTGAGAGCTGCCTGCTCCGCCCCACACACACACAGAGTGAAACTCTCCGACACAAGAAAAAAACATAACTGATAACATTGGGCTGATATGGTAATAATTAAAATGTTAACAATTAAAATGATTTTTAATGATTAAAAAACGTCTGTGAGCCCACCAATAAGCACACAAAACTAACTCATTATCATTACCCCAGTTCCCGATAGCGTAATTCGCATTTTCTTTTAAAGCAACATTTCATAGCAAACTAGTTAAATAAACAGGTCATTGAAAGATCAGAATTTAAGCCTTACCGTTTTCTCCCAGGACTCTTCCAAAACTTCTGGCTGTGGTCCTGCGCAAGGCAGCATGGGTCACGTGTTCCACAGCAACAATAACACTGGGTTGCCCGCAGACGTGCCTGTCTGAAAATCGGCGTAGTGCACTTGGATATCAGCCAATGCCGATACATTAAAAAATGCTAAATATCGGCCCGATATATCGGCCGGCCGATATATCGTTCGACCTCTACCTGGGGGTAACGTTATGGCTAGTATTGAAGGTAACCCCATGAGTAACATTATGGCCATTGCTAAGGCTGATCCCGTGGGTAACATGGCTAACCCTGTGGGTAATGCTACGGCTAACCCTGAAACTAACCCCATGAGTTGTACTACAACTAACTCCGTGGAAAACCTGGTGGGTAATGCTATGGCAAGCACTGAGGCTAACCCCTTGGGTGGAATCCATGGCTAGCAATGCGGCTAATCCTGTGGGTAACACTAACTTTGCATCTAATGCTATAGCAAAGAACATTCCGGGTCCCATTACATAAGCAACATCCCTTCGCACTTTGAATAAACATGGCAGGCATTCCAGTGAATCTGCTTTTACCATGAAGTACTTTGGGATCTGAGTAATGAAAAATGCCATAGAAATCGAATATACAGAATGTACAGTGAGTTCCTGTTTCATATGAGTATCAAGAAGTAGCTTTGAGACATTTAAACTAAATTTGACAGCACCCCCTCTGTGGTGTTATTATTATGGTTATTGTAGTTAAAGCCCCCACACATACACAGCTGGGGCCCTCCTCACCACATGCCCTCTCAGAAAGTGAAACAGGGGCACCTTTGACCCCAGGGGTCATTTGCTCCGCAGGCTTTGGACCTGAGCAAGAAGGGCAAGGACACCACACACCCCATGTACCGGAGGCTGATCCACACTCCACTGGAGGTCTGCAAAATACAGGAGGTGCGTGGCCATCGAACCCGGGGCTGTGCTGCCACACCCTGCTCCTTCAAAGTGGTGCTTGGCACAAAGAGAACCTTGAGGGGCCTCAAGGGGCGTGAAAAACCTTACCCTCCAGTGAACATCAGTATGTTTTAGTGTATCACTGTGAGGCGCCCCCTGGTGGCACTCTCCAGGAGCCCTGCAGCTGATCTGACTGGGTCTCTCGTTCTTGCAGTACGTTGCCGAGGGGAAGTACAGGAGCTTTGAGGAGTTCAAGGCTGACGTTCAGCTGGTGGTGCACAACACGGCCATCCTGTATGGAGGTGGGGCCCCCTGCTGGTGACATTGTAGTGTAGCTTAAGCGGCTGATGCACTTTTCTGTGTTACTAGGGCTGGGTGGTATACCGGCCATAGTCATTACCAGTGTGATTGTGTGCCACAATAAGCATTTACACTATACTGTTAACACTGCGATAAGTCAACAACCTAATTATAAAAATGAAAGCATTTTATTTTCTTCAAAGCTTCAGTCTGAATACTTGTCCTTATATAGTCTATGTAGCCAGATTATCTGCATTGTGTGAATTTTCTATTAAACACACTCTGATGCTGGATATATCCGAAGAGTTACTCCTTTTGTTTGACGCTGACAGGGGGAAGTAAAAAAAAATAAAAGAAATCCTCCAACTCTAACAATTTGAATAAATTAAAACTAAAGGGGCTTCAGTGCTGTCTATCCATCTAGGTCAGGGGTGTCAAACATACAGCCCACAGGCTGGAACCGGATTCTGCACGCAAGAGATTTTGAATATTGACAAACTGAACTGGAAAATCCCACAAAATAACTCCGCTCCTGTAGGGGGTGTGTCATGCCAAAACTCTACCGGCATCTGAATTCCTCCCCCCTGTGACGTATCGCTCAGCTGTAAGGCTGATGATGCAGTTTCAAAGTACCCTGTAAGTTTCAAGTTGCCCTTTACGTTTCCGCTGCAGTAAGAGTTCACGTAAATAAAATATGATTACAAATGTTCTTTAAAAAGTTTGTTTTTATTAATTATTATTAAGAAATCATTTACATTTAGCTTGATACTACAACCAACATGTTTTATTAGATTATTAATCTTTATTTAGCACCATAGCTACATGTTTTATTTATTACTTATATAAAGTACGTTCACAAATGTTTTTTTTAAATGTTTTTTTAGGGCTGTCAAAATTAATGGGTTAACGCGGATTAATCCATCATCATGATTAATCTGATTAAAAATTTTAACGCAATTAACCCATCTGCAGCGCAAAATGACTCAAAGTCCCTGAAATGTCTCTGTCAACCCATTTCGGGCAGTTTTGGTGCGTTCCATTTGCCTTGGAAACTCGTATTCCGAGTCAGATTCCAAGTTTTGAAGCCGGAAGTGACAACATGCGCGCTCCCGTTTCTTGGAGCAGCACAGAGGATCCCAACTCCCTGAGTTAACAATCTGAGATGGCTGCGCCTTTTATCAACAGAAGGGAAAGTTGTAGTTTTATACTGTTTAAGCACTACTTCTCATTTGTGGCTCATTAAATCGGTCGCACACACTATGCCGTCCAACTTATCTGTGGACGTGTTGCCATGGAGTTTTATACATAAAGCACCGCGCGTAATGTGTTATCAACTGATATTGCTAACAATGGCAATTAACTGGGCTAGAATTGGATTTCATGATTAGTCGGATTATTTGTCGGATTTACGGTAGTTTGTGCTAATTGTAAGTGAACGCAGATAAAGACCATTTAAACTGAGGTACCTTAAATACGAGAAGTTGTCCGGCTAAGCAAAAAATCTTGCTTTTTGATATGGGTCCATGGTCTTGCACTTCTGTGGCAGATGGAATGCATCCGACTCGTGTTCAAGATGTTCAATAAACATGTTAAGTGCATATATATTCCCTTTTTTCTTGAGTCTGTTTGCTCA